GGCCGGGCCTCTGCGCCGCGTGCTGAGGGAGCGGCGCTGCGGGGTTGCTGTGCGGCCGCTCCGAGGGGCCGGGGCTGCCGCCGCCTTCCAGCCTCGAGCTCTCCTTCTCCCTTCGCCGGCGAGGACAGCCTCGGAACGGGCAGGGAGTGTGTGCGGGTGCCCTCCGAGGCGGCGAGCAACACCCGGCTGTTCGCCTTTGTCTCTTGCATTGCGTCCAGCATTGCGAAGGCGTCGGCGCTAAATTCCCAGGGGCTGAGAAGATCCTATGCTGCCTTCCTTGTCTTGCTTCTCTTTTTTATCAATTTTTTTTTTCTTTTTTCTGTATGCTTAAAGACTATTAAGTCTTTGGCCTGGATATTTTTTTTCCTCTCCATGTTTAAGTGTCTGCATTGAATGCACTAATAAAGATGGATAAGAAATCATTTGAAACCGTGCTGGATGAAATTAGAAAGGTAACTTTTAATTTTGCATGTTAGTTTAACCATTTGATGGTAGAATATTCCTCCACACCAGGTTATGTGTTTGCCTTTAATAATCATTTCAGGGTTCAATAAAGAGTAAATTTTACCTCAGTGTGAAGTACTGTAATCCTGTGTTGCTGGTGTATTCTAGGTTTTATGTGTCGAATATAACAGTGTAAAGCTGCTGTGACATGATTTCTCTGAGATGTTTTTATTTTCTCAGAAAAGTCAGATTGAATGCCCAGACTGCTACCAGTGAGCTAGCAACATGTGCTTGAAGAGTGCTCATTTGAAATAAGTGCTTGAACAAGTTTTTCACGGGTTTTTCACTGTCAGAGAAGGTGAGGAAGAAAATCCAAAATGGCCAAGTATCTCTTATTTGGTGGTAGAGGCCATGTTTGCTTGGCCTGACCAGAGACAGGGACTTGCAGTGTGAGACATCCACCTTTTATGTGATGGTTTAGGAGATCCACTACACAAATACGACATGAGAGGGCTGTTTTCGAAGCTGCACTCTGTATGCCTTGTTCCAAGCCACGTCTCCCACAGCTCATGAGCGTGTGCACACCTTCTTCCAGGTTGTGAAAACCTGGGTTTTTGATGTGTGCGGTGAACTGTGCTTGTGCATCTCGTGTTAACTCACTGAGGAAAATACCTGCTAGTTGTGGGAAGCAAAGATACAAATCTAGGCTTCCTGGTGTCTGACAGGTCTTGTTTCTTTCTGCACAGAGGCCTGCTTTTAACAGGAAAGCTTGAGGTTAGTTGTCAGATGGCTTCTCAAATGTCGGAAGTGGAAAAGGATAGAAAAAGTCAGAACTACTGAGATTAATGGTTCCTGTCTTGTGTTGGAATAACAAACATGGGATGATGTATTTTGCTGTAGTTATGCAGAGGTGATTTAAATGTCACAGTAGAACAGGTAAGTATCCTGGTAAAGCTGTCACTGTGAAAATGAAGGGTGTGTTTTGGGTAAGATTTGCCTTATGGCAGAAAAGAAATCCATAACATTTTTGTAATAAATGTATTTTCTTATGATGTGTTGTCTAGAAGAGGTCATTTTCTTTATTTGGACTTGGGTGCTGCAGAGTTCAGTTTCAATTCAGCTTCTCTTCAGCACGATGGCTGCAGTTCTATTATTATTATTATTATGGGACATACTGAGATATAAACCACTGTGCACAAAAGCCCCAGGGATGAATCTTTGTTATTGCAACTGCTCTTACTAGCGTTTTTGCATAAGGTCATGGTCATAAATTTTTTATAAAACAGGTAGGTTCCATGCTGCATAACCAACTGAAAACATGACAGCCTAAGATATTTCAGGGTGTGGATTTCCCTCCCAACCTAAGAATTCTTATGGAAGGAGATCAAGGAACAATTTGCACACGAATACTTTATCTGGGATTTAATGGTTGGAGGGAGTAATGTTTCAAATATTACTACTGCAGTGCAGTCCTTCAGAATACGCTCCGTGATTACTAAAGACTTCAGACAAAAGGGTTTTGACATGTGATTTTAGGCAGTTATGTTTTCTGTATGCTATCTGCCTGTATTCCTGTAAACCTAACTTACTGTTGATCTAAGGATCACTGCTGTGCCATATTAATAATAGCTGTGCTGTTGCAGTGTAATGTTCATTTTCCAAATGCTTATTTTGTGTCTTTGTTGCTAGATCTTTGTTTAATCTTAATTTCTAGCTCTGTGGTAGAACCTTCTTTGTTACATGATTCACAAGTGTTGGTGTGTTCCATTTGCAGTCCTACAATTATCAGGAACAGTTTTTTAAATGTCCTAATGTGTAGCTTAGTTCTATCTTTTCCTATACGTACTCATGATTTTTAACAAAATAAAGTTCGTTTGCTTTGTTTCATTTTTTCATAAGTAAACATAGCAGTGCTTTCTGTTTGTATTCTTTACTATAAAATCATTCAGTTGTTGATTTAAGGAGGAAGAGTGCCGTTTTGGTAAAGAGGTTGCTATATGACATACCAGAGTTTTTTCCAGAATACATGAAGAGAGAAGGGAGAGGAGGAAAAATGAGCCTGAACAGAGAAGTTCTTTTCAACATGTCTGGTAGTGTTGGTCTCTTAGTAAGGTACAGAAAGGAAGGTGGTTGCCTCAACAGTATGCGGGTGGGTTTCTGTGCCCCTGTGCTCCTCACAGTCAGGTTGCAGTCATGGAGAATTTCACGTCTGTCTGTGTGGAGGACCAAGCACAGAAAAAGGAGTAGGGGTAGATTTTAGGGCTGTTGGGAAGCAGATAGAAATGGGTGTGTGGGTGAAGCTGGAGGTGATTTGTGAATAAGCGTGAAAGCTAGCAGTAGGCGGGGGCCTTGGAAACAGGGGAAGGAAGGTGTTTGCACCAGTTTGGGGCAGGAATTCAGTGGTTGCCTGTCTTCCTTATATCTTGTATCAGTGAGCTGGGTATGAGGAGAGTGAGGAAGCCCTGGCTGATAGGTAGCCCATGTGGTTATCAACAAAACTGCCTTGCCACTAAGTCAAAAGTGGTGGCCAGTACTGCGTTAAACTACTCTGCTTCCTTTGTTTTGTATGACTGTATTAAAGTTTGAACTACAGGAAGGTAATGCTAAGAGAACATCAGGCTCTGGAGCAAGCCTTATTGTATACTTAATTCTGTCTGCACAGACTTGTTATCCAGTCTCTTCATAATTCACTGAAATAAAGTGCTTTGCTAATTATTTTACAGGAAACATACAAAGAGATTGTATAAATAATCAACTGTATTACGTTATTTCATGTAAAGTTGATCTAAATCTTTGAGACAAAAGAAGAGTGATGATGTTCTCAGTTTCAAACAAAAAAGCAAAATTAAATAAATTTTTTTTAATAGACGAGTTAAATTACATCTCTGCTTTTCATTGTTCTCTCAGTTATCTAAGGATACTTAGAAATATTGCTGTATAATTGATGCAAATGTCACTTTGTAAGGTCAGATTTCTTTAGATTAATAGATTAGTCTAGCAGATGGTTGTGCTATAATTTTTGAGGGACTAACTGCGTGTCTTTTTCCTGTATCTTCTAGGCCGTATTGACTGAATACAAATTAAAAGCTATTGAGTATGTTCATGGATACTTTTCTAGTGAACAGGTAAAAGCCAACATTGTAATGGGTTTAATGGGACCTATTGTTTCTGTGTATGCAGTAATACAGAAAGACAGGGTCTCCAGTCATACCGATGCTGATCATATTAGCTTTTTTATTTATTAACTGAGATTTAATTTCTCATTATTATATCAGCATTAAACTGCTAAAAATAGTTCCAAGTTGTTATCAAAATAATTACATTTTCATTCTTATGTGGGGAAAATTGGAGAAATTTATTGTCATGAAATTTAGACTTAGTTTGCATGTATTTTCTAAACTGGCATATAGTATTAACTATCCC